AAAAAAAAAAAAATTAAAAAAAAAAAAAAAAAAAAAAAAATCTCAGTTTTCCAAAGTGTGAATCTGCCACCTGCAGGTCTCACGACGCGATTATCTGAACTCAGCCCCTTTCGTTGCTTTGCAGGAGAGTGTCTGCTAACGCATGCATTTAATGTGTCTGAATATGACCGTTAACTACCTGTACATATAGACCACTCTCTCAAACTCTCTATAAATGAATATTGACAACACTAACTACTTCAGCATGTCTTGTTTCCTTTTTTTTTTTCTTTTTTTTTTGTTGAAATCCCTTGTGGTGGTTGTATGGTTCAGTTTCTCCGACCGTGCTTCCCTCATATTTGTCTGTCGGTGCGGTCAGCTACATTCACTGCCCAAAGAAACAGAAAAAACCCCGGCGTGGCTCGCGATCGGTGTGTTAGCGTAGGCTATGGCCGGCCTTTTTCCAGCGCTGTCGGCTCCCGCTACCGGTCGCCGTTAGCTTCCTGACCAGACCAAACTCCTTCAGAGGACTAAACTTTACTGTACTTGCATGACAAAGCCAAGAAATTTTCTGAAAGCCTAAGAAAAACGTCGTGTGGCGCTATCCGAGCGACCTCGGATAAGTTAAAGAAAAGGGAAGAAAAAAAAAAAAAAGGGAAATCAATGTCGACAATTATCACATTCTAGAGCTACTAAGGTCTTATCTAAGCTAACGAGAAGGTTGAACATAATTTACAAATGGAAAAAAAAAAATTGTGGAGGTAAAACAGACAAACATACAAATATATAATATATATTCTTAAAAAATGGATTCTTTCTCTATACGTGATTCATTTATAAAGCCGACAGACGCACAACGCTCACATGCCGACGGTCTAGAACGTGGAAACTAGCTGCGATGTCGTAGATGGCTTCGCTTCTCTCTTTTTTTTGTACATTATTTAAAAGTTTTTTTTTTTTAGTCTTTTCTCCATTTTTCTTCAAAACGACTTACGATTTTTAATTGGTAGACGATTCCTTGACGTGATCTTTAAAAAAAACAAAAAACAAAACATGCGGCAAAGAAGGAAGGAGAAAAGGAAACAAGCAGAATGTTAAGAAGTTGAGAAGACAGAAGCAGCTGTGGGAGCGGTTCAATCATTTGGTTATCTTCACGGTTGGTGCACTACGCTTTAGTTAAGTTTTTTTTTGTTTGTTTTGTTTTCTCTCTTCCCCCTCCCTCCTGCTTTTTGATTTCCCTCAGACAGTTCGGTCCTCGCCGAGGCGTTCAGCAGGGAGGCAAACTTCTCGGCGCGGATAGAGGTCGATTCCGCTCTGCTGCTGCCCACGTAGCTACGCCTACGGAAGCTCTACTCCTGTTTTCTCTCTCTCTCTTTTTTTTTTCTCCAGTTTTTTTGCCTTCTTCGTGTTCGTTTTTTTTTTTTATGGTCACCATGGGATGGCCCGGGCAGGGGGAGGGGGAGAAGGCAGGGGGTTGGTTGCAGGTTGGATGGCGGGGTGGATGAGGTCAAGAACAATGATAATGATGGTGGTGATGGTTGCTGTTGTGTTGGTCTGACATTTCTCTCTTTTTTTTTTTTTTTTACATGTTCCGATTGACAGGCGTGACGTAGTTGCGGGGGAACATGCCCGTCTGGCCGTGGCAGCCTCCTTTCCACCAGTTGGGGTCGGAGTTGTCCAGGACTTGGATGAAGTCGCCCCGTCTGAAGCCCAGCTCGCCTTCCTCCTGCGGGTCAAAGTCGAAGAGCGCTTGCACGTATGTAGGGTGCTGAAGAGGAAGGAGAGAGACGTTAAATGAAAATGGAAAAATAACGTGAGAAACATGATGGTGGTTCTGTAGTGACGGTTTGAATGTGTAGCAAGTCAAAAACTAGAGAGTACACTTAGACAAGTTTCAGCAGGGATGCACCGATCCACTTTTTTCCCCCCACTTCCGATACGAGGTTGCGTATAAAAATAAAAAAATTCTGAATTGACAAAAAAATATGTTTGTTTTTTTAAAAACACAGACATAACTGTACTGAAGCACAGATTTATTGAATAACTCTGCACCAGTACAGCACATTCAAATACACCAGTAGCCACAAAATGCTAGCAGCAAACAACTTATATGGACAAACTTTTATAAGTTTGATCAAACATGTAAAAACAACTTTCACTTTGTTTAGTGCAATTATGAGTAGAACAGCCAATGTAAAAATAATAATAAAGTGAAACTGACAAAAACCACAAGTCAATTACCTTGGTGAAATATATAAAACCAAATCCTTTTTCAAATGGTTCAGAAAGAGTATTTAGGAATTCTAAATATAATGTAGAATAATAAAGCATGACATTGTTCAGAGCATAAAGCATAGAATTAGACTAAACAGATCTGTCTTTATGGATCGGGCACATCGTCAACCAATCTACAATGTTTGTCCAATATTGGCAACAAAACAGATTAATATTGGATCAGTGCAACTCTAATTTTGATGTCAAACAAGATAATTTCAAGACTTCTTTCACATTTAATGTGAAATGTATAATATACAATTGAACTGAATAAAACAAATCTGAAACAAAGAACATGAAATGGGCTGCAGTCACCCTCGGTTTAACAAAAAAAAAACCAAACTTCTATACTTTTGTTTAAAAAGAAAAAAAAAAAAGGTGTGATTTTGTCATCATACTCACAATACTACATTAACAACTAACACACACACGAACTCAGCCTTTCCTTTTGTCTCACCTGCAGTATCATTTCATTTCTGAGTGGTTTGAGTTGCTTCCTCTCTGTCTTCCCCTGCCGCTGGCCCTCAAACTTGCAGCCTGCAACCTAACCGCCACTAAATTTCCAGGGGTGTTTTCTGCCCCCCACCTTTTTTTAAAGCAGGTCACCCTCAAACTACGGAGGAGGAGTTCAAACTGTGAAAGAGATTTAGGCGGAACGCAAAAAATCCCTCGCTGCTTCGAAATATGATTGGTCGGAGAATCTGCACCGTCTTTGAAATCTGATGCAAAACAATTTGTCATTTTTTTCTAAAGCAACTGTTTTGGAAGAAATAAAAAAGAGATACTCCAGGATCTTCACCAAATTTAAATATATTCTCAGTGTATGAAGATTTATATAGAGCATGTGCATGTAAGTTGTTTGCTGCTAGCATTTTGTGGCTTGTGGTCTGTGCAGTACGTGACTGATGTTTCTTTCTCAAGGATGAATCTATACGCAATACACAGAAGATAGATTTTTATGTTTATATACGAGGCTCAGGCCTTTATCAATAAGTACACTTTAAATAAATCATTAAAGAAACGTAAAACCATACACGCCACAAAAAAAGACATTAAACCAGTAAAAGTATTTGCACTTTTTTCACTGCCTCAACCACAAATTCAATGTGTTTTTTTTATTGGCCGTTTGTGTTACTGACCCACAGGAAGTCTAATTGTGAAATGGAGGGAAAAATATGTTGTTTTAAATAACAACCCGGAGTGTGGGAAGGCATTTGAATTTAATGATCTAGTTTGACTGCGAGGATGAACAAGAAGAAAACTGTTGCTTAAAGAACATCATACGAAGTCTGGCTTTGTGTGATGTGAGGACCGTAACAAAAATGAGGATAAATGAAAAATGGACGTCGACAGACGAGACCGGAACTGAACTTTCAGCTGAGAAACATTTGGCATGAGGAAGACGTTCCCACCTTTACGTTGGCGCTGTGGGGAGACTTAATGGAGCTAAACACAGGAGGAGCATGGGAAGAAAAACAAAAACAGGCTGCACAAAACTTGAGTCTGGGGCAAAGTTCGACACTAAACAACGAGCCAGTCAGAATAACCACAAACGGTTTCACATGTAGGTGTTAAAATGATGCAGATAAAGTCCAGTTTTAAGCTCCACACTTTTCAGATTTAAAATATGTATAGAATATTCAAAGCCCCTGTATCATTTTCCTTCTGGAGATGCACCGATACGATATTAATATCTTTATCAGTCCAGATATTAAAAAAAATATCTAGGTGGTATATTGTGACATTTGTGCCTGATCCGTGAGGGCAGATCTAGTCAGTGTAATTCTATGCTTTATGCTCTGAGTGACATCATACTTTATCATTTACTTTACATTATATTTAGAATTTCTTTCTGACTAATTTCAAAGGTTTGCTGTAGTTTATTTTTGCAAGTTTGACCAAAGGCAGTCAACTTATCGTTTCTGCCAGTGTCACTTTATTATTCATTTTACATTGGCTGTTCTACTCCTGATTGCACTGACTAAACAAAGTAAAGTTGTTGGTTTTACATGTTTGACCAAGCTTGTGAAGCAGCTGGTGTATTTAAATGTGCTGTGCTGGCGCAGAATTATTAAATAAATTTGGAATTCAGTACCTTTATGTTTGAGTTTAAAAAATAAAACGTTCTCAGTCAGTTCAGAAATGTTTTGCTGTATCGGATCGTATCAGTCGATACTAAACATCAAATATCGGCATCAGAAGGGAGAAAAAGTGGAGTGGTGCATCTGTACTTCCTTCCATATCACAATTTAGCCCTGTATGTTTGGTCCATCCAATAAAAAGAAAAAAAAAAAAGAAAAAAAGAAAAAAAAAATTATAAAACACACTGGGAAAAAAAAGTTATAAATTTAAGGTTACAAATACTTCTGCAAAGCAAATAAATTATACCAAGTTAATTAAATGTCTAAATGTCAATGTAATCTGACTTGGTGGTTAAATGAGGAATGATCTGCAAACCTTTTAACCACTGTTAAAAGGTAAACCCCCCCCCCAAAAAACAACCTAATGTTTAGTTTCCGTCACTGTACAAGAACTGTGTCAAACCGTTAACAGTTAAGGATGCGTCACAGGGTGTCATTTCGTACCTGGGTGATCTGCTCTATGTCTCGCAGGAAGATTTGTTGATTGCGGGAGACTGAAGTCGTGCGGTGGTAATCCACCAGCTCGTTGAGCGAGTTGAACTTCACCACCCAGAGGAAGTACTTCCCAGCCCCGTCACGAAGGACCTTGAAATGCTGGACATCATTACCAAACCTGGAAAAAGATAAAGGGTGTAAAATTATAAACGGTGACAAAAAAAAAAAAAGGAAATAAAGAAAGAAGCAAAAACCAATTATCCCACAGTGGTGTTTAGATGCACTGCATGCTACAGAGTAATTTTTGTTTTTAATCATCTGCCTGGATGGTTCGAAAAAGCGTCTGGAAAGTAATTACAGTTCTTAAGTCTGGCACTCAAAACAAATCGAAGAAACATCGGTGACATCATGGCGGCACTGCCAGGTTAAGGAAATGACTCAGCCACGCCAAATATAAAAGTTCTTAGACCCAACATATAAAGTGCTAGAAGCAGGAAATAAAAGCCAAGTTCGGAGGAAACTGAACCCTGACTCATATCTGCCATGTGTGTGACATCTGACATTTGACTTTGCTCTACTCACTTCACCGACAGGGAGAAGTCTCCTGGCGCACTCTCGCTCTCTCGGATGAGAAAAGCCCCGTCGTGCCTCTGTTTGTTTAGCATCTCCTCTGCTTTGGCGCGGGGAATCTTCCCGAAGAACCACCTGCAGAAGAAAATGCCAAAAAAAAAAAAAAAAAGGAGAGAAAGAAAAAGGTGCAAATATTATTTTACTGTCATCGAAAGCCACTTCCATCACTGTACTGTAGAAATTTGACTGCATACAAACAAATAGATTTAGCTTCAGGCTGACCATTTTTGGAGATAAAAAATGTAAGAAAATCCTGCTGGTCAACAGGTAGGAAGCCATAAACCCAAGATTTAAATACTGCAGAAAAAAATGGGAGGAGCTGATGTTCAAACAGGAAACGAGTCCATTTGCTTCACATTGGTTCGGTTTCGTGTCAAAGCTCGGGTATTTAGCTGCGTTTCACTCCTTTACGGAGCCACACCTGCCAATAACAATTTACTTCTTTAGCGTAGAACAAGCTTCTGCATTTTATTTTTCCCCCCTCAGAGAATGTGTCTGCCATCTCCTCAAACTCCAAGTCATGCTGAGTAGGAGGGACTGCTGAAATTTAAGCCTGCACCGATCGCACTTTTCTGACCAACCACCAATTTTCAAAAAGCCTGACCTGCCGATTCCGATTCTGGACGATACCGATTTGTTTCTGTCTGAAAAGTTGCTAAATATAGCAACACAGTTGCTAAGTTGTCAACAGTGAGGTGACTATTGTTAACCACGGGTGGGCCTGAGTCATTTCTCACAAACAAGCCTGTGGCTGATTTCTTTACACCTTTTCAAAAGCAGATAAGATCAGTGGATACAATTAATTTGACAGTTAACTATTACTGCTATAATTGATTAATCAAGATTAATTCAATTAAGTTGATTCAATTAAATGTCTACCATTTCTACATGCTCTTTCACACATTAGTGACTTGATGCAGGTGGCCATTTAACGGAGAGAAAAACTTTTCACTGGCAAGATAAACTGAATTTAATGTTTTATAACTAGTATTGGTTTGGAATCTATGTATGACTATGAATCTGGGTTACAACATTTTAGGGAAGCAGCTTGAAGAGACATTTGTGATGAACTGAAACAGAATTCAACTGAACTGATGTCACCACCATGTTGTAACATGTATGCAATCAAGCTAGAGGAAAAAACCCCAAATGAATCATGATTCATCGATTATAGAAACAATTGTCAATAATAATCAAACATTACATGGAGAAAAAAAAAAGACTCCAAAAACGGCAATTTGCTGAAAGAACAGTCAAAATAGATACATTTTGCACTTAAGACGAAAAACCTTCTTTGTCTAGAAATGTGTTCCTCAGAACTTAACTGGCATTTTTTAGCTTCACCTGGTTCAAATTATAAGTCTATTATGTACATTTTGCTACCCATTAAAAAAAATAAAGAATTTTTTTTTTTTTTTTTTTTTGCTGCAGGTGCATCCGTTGCTACAAATGATCAAACAATCAAACACGCATCAAAAGCAATACCATGTTGTTGTATTTCAGGCAATAAAATGTTCATTTTCTCATTTTTTAAGAAAGTCCTTATTTGCATCTTTTAATGCATTTCTAATATTGTACAATAAAAGCTTATGTGGTTAAATGAAAAACCTACAAAATGTTCAATTAAAAAATAAATCTGGTTAATCGAATAATCGTCAGAATAATCGATTACTAATTAATCGTTAGCTGCAGCCTTAAATCAAATGATAAGAATCAGTGATTTCCTCCCATTGGAAACATGTGCATGTCTGTCTGAGGCATAGCTGGAAAAGCTACAGCATTAACCAGCCCAGCACCGACTGTTCTAATGAAGCTGTCCTTCAACACACCCACAGCCAGACTAGTTATGTAACGATAATGGCAAAGTGAGTTTTATGGCTTCGCAGATTTAAAAACAGAACAACCTGTATGCTTCAAGGTCTGCAATGAGCTGAGCAACATAATTATTTCTGCTTAAATCAGGTTTAAGCCATTAAAAGTGGTGTGAACTCAATTGATCCGCTCTGAGATTTGCGACCAAGACAAATCATGTCAAGTCTGTACACTTGTGTAAATAACCAGACGTCATCCAAAAGCTGGGATCCTGGCTCCCTCAAACGTCGCTGGGAATCAGTGATGAACTGGCCAACTCTTAATCCACTTTGCATCTCAACTTGGCAGGACCGAAAGTCTGCACAGACTCCCTTTCCTTGTTAGATCGGCCCTGATAGCAGAGCAATTAATGCACCCGAAATTAAAAAAAAAAAGAAAGAAAAAACGTTTAAAACCAGAACTACAATCGGCAACATGCTACTGTTTTGGTTACACACACACACACACACACACACAAGTTTTCACGAGTCACAAAACGCAATCAATGTTCAGCAGGGTCAAAGATCTGTCTACAGACAGGCATGACTGATTGGGTGGTGAATCACACCATTGTGCTCTGTTACACAGCAAAGCAGTGTAAGCATGTCTGTAGATCCGTGTGGAAGCCTGGTACACTTGGAACAGATTGTTAATATGACTGGAAAACTCCACAAGACAAACTGAGGGTTAAAAACAAACAAACAAACAAAAAAAAACAACAACAAAAGACATCAGGCCAGGTCATGAGCACAACTACCAGAGCCAGAGGTTCAAAAGGTGTTGCTTCAAAGAATAATTATCTAACAAAATGGTCTAGTGAAAGTTCACGTGTTGATGCAGCTGATGTTTACAGGTAGTGGAGCAGATAATTTAATATTTCACATGTGGATACAAGAGCATATGTTGGCACAGCTGTTGCAAGGGGTTTGCTATTAGAAAAAACAAAACAAAAACAACATGATCACAAAGGAAAATCTGTTTTAGTGTTAAAACAAATACATAATTGGAACCCCTTTGTCCTCTAAGAAATAAAAGAAAAAGAAAAAAGAAGTGACTTATTGATAATTTTTTGATCTTGAAACATTTTTTTGTTGAACAAGTTTTCAAAATGGGCATCTCCAATGATTAATGCATATTCATATTATGAACCATAAAAACTGTGAATATTTTCCAGATTTTTCAAAATGGCGGACATTCCTCACCATCCAAATGGACAAAGAAAGACAAAAAAAAATAATGATGAAGCAAAACTTAAAAATTGGGCAAAGTTAGTGCAGATGCACAGTAAAGAAATGCAGCTGTAAATGTAGCAAAAAGTTATGCCATAGATTTCAGATTTCACCATGTATCCTCACCCTTCTTCGTATCAAAGTTTCTGATCAGAAGTAGAGAGCTCAAGAAATATACTTGGCATTTATCTAAATGCCAGATAAAAGCTCTGAAGATGATTGGAGCGGAGCTGCTCCTCCCTTTCCTGTTTCAAAACTCTATCGCACTGGTACATCTCATTTCTCATATTTAAAGGGCTGCTGTGTGGCTGAGCTGGTAGAGGAAGCGCACCATAAGCAGAGGTTGTACTCCTCAACATCAACGCAGTTGTCCTGGGTTCGGTTCACGGTCTAAGGCCATTTGCCGCACGTCTTCTCCCATTTCCAACCTACTTCCTGTCAAATTCCTGTTAAATGAAGACATCTTCTAGGAGTGGAGGGGGAAATATCTTGATTCCGTTAAAATGAAAACTGGAGATGTTGGTATTAATTTAGTGCAGTGTGCAACAGCAAAGGGAAAATAACACAGAAAAACCCATGAACAAGTCAAAACCACTTATTCTTGTTTCCTCAAAGTTTTTGCTGACTACGCTACACAGAGACCTGTTTTCATAGCAAGTGACTGACAACTAGGGCTGAAACGATTCCTCGAATGATTCGAGTACCTCGATTACTAAAATATTCGTTTACAACAGCCCTACTGACAACAGCTCCACTGTTTATCATGAGAACATTCAGTCTGCTACAGTATTATGTTTTCTGGTTTGATGTTTATTCTGCGATTAATAAGTGACTGAATACAGAGGAGGTCGATTAGCTAATTTAAACACTTGTGCTGCTGATGGATTTTCAGAGTTGGTGAAGGCCACCTTTATTTTTCTTCTTTCTGAACCAAACCACACAAAATCCTGCAGCACATCTGCATGTTAAGGTTGTCAAAGTCAAGCTAGCATAACTGATCTTGTAACATGTCTGTAGGCTGGAATCTACAGGATGTCAGCCATTACTTCTGGGGCAATACAATATGTTAATTAGAGTGCTAAATAACCAAGCTCTGCTACTTAGCTAGGTAATATTAGCAAAGCAAGATGTGATGTCTTGTGGAAAAAGCAAAATTAACTTATCCAGTGTTTCAATGTAAAATCTTAACCTACCATTTAATCTAAAAAAAATGACTAATTTGATCTGACAACTTCAGTCTGAAGTGGCTTTTAAATATTTTCTTAAGTCTTTTTTAACTGCTAACACCATTATTGGCCGTGTTCAATAAAATAAATAAATAAATAAAAAATATTGACATTACATCTGTGACAAGATTTATTACATTTTTATTGTTAAAATATTTTGATAATGATATTTTTACCCAAAGTAATAAAACAATTAATCTCCCTTATCGGCTCTTGTCTAGCTGTAACGTTCGAGTTCATGTTAAATTATTAATACACAATTCAACCAGAAATGTTTATCAAAAACCAAACAATACATCTACAGAAAGCAACCATATCCAATTTTGTTGCGATAAATCTCAGGCTACATATAAACAAATGAACCAAGGCTCTTCTTGCTGTAAAATACAAGGGGTGGCGGTAAAAGCATTTTACTGCCAAGACAACAACTGGCCACCAGCACCGACGAACAGAGAGAAATAAGAGAGTAAAGGAGGACACGCCCAGCAGAGTGAGAGCCATCCTTCTACAAAGTTACTTCTGACGGCACCACAGCAACGATGCAGTGAGGTCAATATTCAATTAAGTGTAAGAGGCTCTGAGCACATTATTAAACAGAGAGGTAATCTGGCACTCAATGTGGGTCCAGAGGGAAACGTGTCCAAGAATCCTGCCAAGATTTATCTGAAGAGGCTGCAGGCAAACCATACCTCACATGCAACTGGTTCTTAGTCCGAAACGTAAAGCTTTTATCAACAGATGTGTGTTTTTGATGATTTGATGCGACAGCAAATGCTACCAATTTCTTGCATTCGGAAGTTGCCATGTAAAATGCTCAAAAGCTATCAGGGACCTCTGGTTGGCTCCTTAAAGCACGTCTTGTAGAATTTTCAGCTTCGGATGCCAATATTTAATAGAAATTCACACATCAAGCCATCTTCATCTATTATTATTCTCAAAGCAACAATCAGTCACCGTCACTAATCAAGCATTTTGAAAACTCTCCATATAAAAAAAAAGAAAAGCAAGATGCAGCATCATGGTGACAATTAAAAAAAAAATAAAAGCATAATCAAACTATCTGAAAAAAGTACAACATTCACAATCAGAGATGCTACCTTCATAGACGCAGAAATAAAAGTAACTATCGATCTTTTTAAGAGACTCATGCAAGAGAAAAAAAACAAAAACAAACTAGGCCCACTGTGTCATCAAAATTGCAAAGCTCTGATTTGGCTGTTCTTTTAATATTTTGAGAATTATTACTATTAAAAAAATTAATGGAGAAACGGGTTGGTTCAAGAGGCTTGTTAATGCCGTCAACAAGGAGTGAGTAAATTAGCTGCTATGGCAAACATTATTAAAATCTATGTTTTTTTTACCTGATCCACTTCAACTCAGATTGATAAATATTGATTTCTCAATGTTAAATCTACATGAATGCTGTGTCCAACGTGTAAAACCAGTTCTTAAAAGGCTCTGCTCAGCATCAGAGGACACACACCGAGTAGTCAGATTAGCATTTTTCCAAAACAGAGCTCATTATTTGCCAATACTTTTGCTAAGCTAACATACCATTTTAAAAAGTGAGCAGCCACACTGCACCATAAGCTTTATCAGAGTGATTAGAAGACACTGTTACTGCTGGACTTTTCACATTTGTTTGTGGCTGGAAGGAGTTTCAAAGTCTGATTCACCGTTAGCCACCGTATTATACGGCTGAAAACAACGATTAAAAATGCATTTTAAAATATTAACACCACAAATCACGGTGAAAATATTGATGTGTTCCTTTTATATAATGTCATCCAGATCTACAATCAACCAAATGCAGCAGGGTTCTTTCTGATAAACGCTTTAAAAGGGAAAATTAATGACACTTCTTACACACAACAGCTACATTTAATACTTACGGATGGGCTTTCATCTCTATGTAATTCTTGGGAATGAATCCATCTTTCCCATTTAGTTCTGCCTTATACCAGTTCTGGTCGCACTCTTCATTTAACACCTGAAAGCACAGAAAGGGGAAAAACAAAAAAAAAAACAAGTCAGTCAAACTCTTGTCTAAGCAAAAAAAAATTAGATACAGAAATTTTTGTCTTCACCTGGATAAACAGAAGGCTAGACATGACAATATGGCAACTGAATTGAACTGATGAAAGGAGGAAGTGGAGAAATTTGTTTCAAAAAACGGACTTTTGAGGAAAAGTTACTCGAGCTTTTTTTTTTTTTTAAGCAGAGTGTCATAAACTGTCCAGGGAGAAACACTGGAAGCTGTCCTTTTACAATGCAAAACAGAAAAAGAAATGTTTTATTCATTTGATGCAACCTCCACGAACCATGTTATGTCGCTTCAGTTTACAGAGCCAAGTTTGCATTTAACATTTTCTCCTTCCCTTTGCTCCATTTTCCATCTCGGCTACTAAAGCCTTCCAAAAACACACACAAAAAAAAAAAAAAATAATAATAATTAAAAAAAAAAAAAAAAAAACAGCAGAAGGAACCGAGGTGGCAGACGAGGCTTCGAGAAATACGGCTGTGAGATGGACAAATGTAGCATCTAGGAATCCAGATATCTTCAGGGACGACAGACGGCCCTAAAATCACATGCAAGTTTAAACGACATGTTTAACTGATGTCTGTCTGCTCCTGTTACCTCATTGAGAGATTTTGATGGATTAGCTTGGCTTTCCTGAATTTTCCACTACACTAAATAAAAATCCAAAAGAAAAAAACCCTGGCTTTTTACACATTTTCATGTCTTAATTCTATACTTTCCCACTTAAAGTACAAGAGGTTCAATAAAAGTTGGCATAAACAGACAAATGTATTGAAAAATGGGATACAATTTTTAGGGAATAAAGTAGGGTTGCATGATATATCAGTGACATCGGCATCGGCCGGTAGCCATTTTTTTTTAAAATAAAAAATGCAATTAAAATTGTATGCGAAGTAAGTTTCTTCATGCGATAAGACGTGAAAAAATAAAATAAAATCACTGCACAATCGTCTTCATACCACTTCCTGTCATGTTCGTCTTTTCCGCCGGCAGTAACATCCGGTTGTTGATCACGTGACTCGTGTGATGCAGAGACGGTATGACAGTTTTGTGAAATACACTTTCGATACAGCAAACAAACCAAAAGTGCTAAAGTTTATACTAAAGGAAGACTTATTTTTTAAATTCACACATTTCCATTAAGCAAATTTATTTTCATATTCCCAATTTGGGCAATTTAAGGTAAATGGAACGCACACACAATCCTTTGCTGCTGGTGATGCAGCAAAGGATTGTGGGGAGTTTAACTGGAGCATAGAAGCAGTGGTGAAGTCAGAACTGTTTTTTTCTTTTTTTTTGCCCCAAAGTGTCAAAAGGGTAGTGAAAGTTATACAGTAAAGGTAATTACTGGCCATAAAAGCAATATTTATATTGGATATCAATATCAGTCCAAATTTTCATATCGGTGCATCCCTAAAATAAAGAGAACTGTATTCAGTTTTTTTTTCTTCAATTCTTATCCAGAACTTAAATTCCTTTTTTTCTCTCCCAAAACTGACTATGAACCCTGAGGAGGAATGCATTTTTTTTGTCCTAATTAGACTCACTGCTTATCGTGTTAAGAGACGGAGTGTGAGGTCTGGGATTTTTCTAAATAAAGCCAATGCATTGTTTTGATAACAGCAGAAGTGTAACAGGGTGAACAAGAAAGATAAAATAAAAAGAAACATTATATTAAAGGGGAAAAAAATCTGCCATTTTCTCATTCTATTGCCTCTTAAATGCATAATCTACGGTTTGCCAATCCCAGCTGTTGGATTGGTTAATGTGCCGTCGAGTGACTGTGGTCTATTTGCTCCTTTGACCCCTCAGAATGCCAGCTGTCCCTGGTCTTCCCCCAGCTGCTAATTCTGCATAAGACCAGCATTACAGGATGAGGGAGTGGCCCTGGACCAGAACCAAAGATCAGCCATAAGCAGAAGTGGGTCAAAGTACATGTGTCCGTATTTACACGCGAGACAGTGACTTTACTGGCAGTGGTGGGTGGGAGGAAGGGGGGGGGGGGCTATTTAGAATGTAAAGAGAGGTACCAGATAGGATAGGGGCAGGTACTTTGGTCCAGTCTGAGCCAAACAGACATTTTCACATGCAGGTAAAAGAAAGCTAGAAAACAAAAAGTCGCAGAGAAATAAATCACAAACAACATATGTAAGAGTTACTAGGTCGCACTAACCCTACTCTTCGGTGTGGAAGTTATTATTGCCTGAAGACTCAAAGTTAGTTCCAATGACGTGTTTAAGCATGAAAATTAAACTGAAGTGTAAGAAACTATTTTACAAAACAAGTATCTCATCTAACAGGAGCCTGTTGGCTCTTCATTCAGGTCGCTACAAATGGCTAAACCTTGACAGGTGCTGGTTGTTTGGCTTCTTTGCCATTTTGCATGTAAACACCGTTAGACGTTACATTCACAGGTAAAGCATTTTGTTAAGGTTTGCGATCCCAACCATGTTAATATACTTATAGCAGTAATAACTAGTTATAATAAAAGTAAATCACTGTCCTGATACTAAACAGTGTACAATGTTAAATCCAAATAGTTTTCTATTTTTCCTTCCCAACTTGTCCTCTGCATATCATAAAAGGCTAAAAAAATATAAGCAGGTTAGAGCTTTTTTTATTTATTAAATTGATAGAAAAAAAGCATGAGGCTCGTGACCCTGACTTTTGGTTGAGCTAACCAAAATTTTTACCTAGTCAGCATCAAGGGCCAATATGTTGCCTTTATTTATTCACATATCTTTCACACCGTTTAGAAAATGCACATGTTTGCTCATTGCCATTTTTAGCATTTAGTTTATTTTCTCAATAGGTTCTCAAAGACCCCACACATCCATATCTGTGACCTCAAGTGAGGTCCTGTCCCCGTTTGGGAACCACTACATTTTGTCAGAACATTTGTTTTTGTGCTTTGGCAACAAAATCATTTTCCAAGGTGCACATTTACCAGCTTTTATAAGAAAAAAAAAAGTCCTCCTGTGTACAGTAAAGCTAAACTTGAGGGCTAGTCCAGTGCCTGGAGCGCACAGTCATGAGTATCATGTGACGCTCCGAGTGACCGCCTGGCTTTAGCTCTGAATGCTGAAGTGAAACTAATCCAAAGATTCAGGTTCTTCATGAAGTCTGCCTTCCCTGAGAGAGGAAGCGGGGGGGTTTGGCAGCCTTGAGAAAGAGGAAAATGTGTGGAATATTTGAATAATTTTCATATATTTCAGGCTTAAAATGTGTTGGAGTTGCAACCTTGAGGAGGGAAAACCAAAGGTTGTTTTTACTGCATTTTGAATGCAGTAAAAGCCAAGGGGAATGTCTGTCAAAAAACCCCACTAAATTCTACACTAGAGGAGTTTTAAATAATATTTACATGGAGTATATTTCTGAAGTTACTACAGCAACACACTGCAGAACTCGACATATATGGCAAAGTTTTGTTTTTTGATGTAATCATGAGGAAGTTTTGTCAAGCGGCTCCTGAAGCGCTGGGCTAATTTTGGGAAGCTTCCTCTACGTTTTGATAGAACTTGTTAATAATTCACCTCATTACATAAACCAGCGCAGTTCCCGTTGACGTGCGTGTGCACAGGTTTGCATAAAAACTTGTTCTTCTGCATCACCAGTCTTGCTACAGAGGTTGTAAAATATAACTTATGTTCCAGTTGCACTAAAGCAGCTCGCTCTACGCCGTACGTGATGGGATCATATGCAGAGCATTTTGCAAAGTGCACAAACTTCTGACCACTTCTTTATGCATTTAAAAAAAAAAAAAAAAAAAGCCGTGACGCAGGTTCATATGGGGGTAGGGAGGGAAAAAAAAGAGAAATAATATTTGCTAGGTTGGCTTTTTTCTTTCTTTAAAAAAATAAAAATAGAGACAGGAACTGGATTTTTGTTTTGCACGAACTTGGGAGCTCTAAACCCAACCACTTCCATTCACTCGTGTATTCCCTCATCTGATTTTTAGTTTTTTTGGGTCCTTTTTAATCTGGTTGAAGCACAATAGTTGTAGGAGTTTCACTTTGACAGGCTAAGGTCTCGGCCAGGGATTATCTCCTCCACAGCTGCCACTGTCCCCCCCCCTCCTCCTTCCCTCAGAAGCCTGCAATCTAAAAATAATATAGCATTTCTAGCCACAAACCCATGTGTGTGTCAAACATGAGCATGTGCCACATCAGACTCACGCGTAGAACTTATTAGTCAGGAAGTCCTGCGAAAATATTCACTCGAATAATCTGATGAATCACATGCAGAGACACCAGTTTGATCTTTTTCGGCTTTAGCAAATTTTGAGTGATATGGGGAAAGAAAGGAGAGAGTTGCAGCACAAAATGATTCCTTCCTTTTGTCTCCTTCTGTTGCGAGGTCAGTGACACGTGTGTGGCTGTTGTAGTTTACCCTACAATAGACCCGTGTTTATTCTCTGCCCGGCAAGAGTTAGGGACCTCTGCGTTTGTTTAGATTTCGGCAGGATATGAGCGCCGAGTAAAAGACTATTACACCAGATCTATATTTGTCCTTCCTGGCAACCTCATGCAACTGTCATGAGGCGTTGGAGAACTACATGTTGCTCAGAGATGCACTCAACGTAAAAGTTGCAGTTGCAGAGATAAAAGAAAAATCTGCACAACCTGAATCAAACCAGGAGCAGGGATTACCTTGAGTATGAATTAATCAGACTTTTGCAGCAGGTCAGGTCCAAGCGTCAAGACAGATGAGCTAAAGCTTCACTGGGAGCTTCCAGTCCAAAGCGTACCGCGTCCAAAACACTGGGTTTAATGGACCCGTCAAAGCTCCTTATGTTGCCTGTTTGCACACAATAAAGCAATCTTGATGTCCATAAAGCAGTGCTTGTTCATTTACTCAGACGGCGCAGCAGTTGCAACTTTTATATGTAAAGTCGAACTGCAGCTGCTATACGAATTTTTACAGTTGTATTCGGGTAATTGGAGTCACAA